CCCACGTTTATTTATTTTTGAGACAGAGAGAGACAGAGCGTGAACAGGGGAGGGGCAGAGAGAGAGGGAGACACAGAATCTGAAACAGGCTCCAGGCTCTGAGCTGTCAGCACAGAGCCTGACGCGGGGCTCGAACTCACAGACCGTGAGATCATGACCTGAGCCGAAGTCGACGCTTAACCGATTGAGCCACCCAGGCTCAAATAAGAGTTTATTTTTAAGTCATCTTTAAGCCCAACATGGGTCTCGAACTCACAACCCCGAGATCAAGAATTGCACAGTCTACTGACTGAGCCAGTCAGGCACCTCTGCTCTCCACCCTTTTAACCCAGCGATGACTACTCCAAGTGTCCTCATCTCTGTCTGGCCACCCTCCACCAGACTGAGCAGCTGGAGGGCCAGGCAGAGCAGAGCTCAGTAATAAACAAGACCAAAGGGGGCACAGACACACAGCCACAATCTCAGAGCCAGAGAGGCCTCAAGAATTGCCCTGTGCACTGTTTCTTATAGATGAGGAAACCAAGGCCCAGACAGGGGAGGATTCTGCCCACTGTCACCCAGTCAATTCCTGGCAGTCAGGACTAGGCCTCAGGTCTCCCAATCCCTACACCAGGACTCCCACAGCCAAACCCCAAGCCCCAAGAAACCCAACACCGAGGAGGAAAGGGCACCCACCTTTGGTGTGTGACGCACCGTCTCCTGGGAACACGTAGGCGTCCTCCAGCTTAGTGATGTCAAACAGGCAGATGCAGAGCCCCACGTTGTACACGACCTGTGTGCATCCGCATGCATACACACACACACACACACACACACACACACACACACACACACACACACACACACAGTGACCCAGAGGCCCAGCTCCCCAGCATTCTCTCCTGAGACCCTCCCCACCCAGGGCAGGTAGGATTATCCCCATTTTATAGCTAGCAAGGAGTCGAGGCATGGTGTGAGGTAACCATGGGTAAGGAGCCTCAGAAGAATGTGGAGCTCTGGAAAGAGCAGGGCCTTTGGTGACAAGGCAGATCAAGGTTACAGTGACAGTTCCACCACCCACTGTGTGACCTCCAAGGTCACTTCTCCGAGCCTCAGTTTCCCCCATCTGCAAAAATGAACCTACCAGGCTGCAGGCTCATTAAATAAAGAGACATATGGATGTGAAGCCCCTATGCAAGTGCCTGGCTCACATGCTGGAAATAATAACAGTCAACCCACAGATCACTATTATTGCCAGTGAGGAACACTGGGAGGGGACCCTGGTCAAAACTACACTTCCCAAAGTCTCCAGGTCTATACTAGAGCTCAGAGTGAGTGTCAGAGTCCTGGTTAATCCCCATTCTGCTCACAAAGTATCAGACATACACCAGTGGCCACAGGGACTGAGGCACGGCCAAGGCCCTGAGACTGGGCAGAGAGCATCCCATGCCCCCATCCCCACCCCATGGTGCTTCAAACCACTGAACCCCTTTGGTGTCAGCTTATCTGCCACCAGCGTCATCACCTCCCAGTTAGAGACCCTGAAGGACTGTTCAAGGAATACCAAGAAGCTCAGAGGGCTCAGAGTCCTGGCCAGACCTCACCACAATGAGGCATAGAGTCTGGCTGGCTTTGGCAGCACAAGATCTGTGCCCTTGGCTGGACCATGGACCTCTTTGTGCAGCCTCTGCTCAAATGACTCAAATACAGGGGCGCCTGGGTGGCGCAGTCGGTTAAGCGGCCGACTTCGGCTCAGGTCATGATCTCGCAGTCTGTGAGTTCGAGCCCCGCGTCGGGCTCTGTGCTGACAGCTCAGAGCCTGGAGCCTATTTCAGATTCTGTGTCTCCCTCTCTCTGACCCTCCCCTGTTCATGCTCTGTCTCTCCCTGTCTCAAAAATAAATAAAACGTTTAAAAAAAAAATTTAACAAATGACTCAAATACAGAAGACTTGTCTCAACAGGTCACTGAAGGACTTGTATCCCAAAGGGACTACATTCCCTTCTTGGGCTTTTCGCCCCTCTTCTCTCCATGATGCTCACACTTGGTCCCTCCACAGACCCCCTTGCCTTCTACCTCGCAAAGTAACCACAAGCCATCCACTAAGAACATCATGAGTTCTCTCCACCAACAGCTCCCCAGATCTGTCCACCTCCCTTCTATGACCTCGGCCTCTATCGAAGGGACTGGCCTCTTGTCTAAAGCCAGCCAACCTTCCTCTTGCTGACTCCTTCTCAGCCTATCACCTCCTGCTGTTCTAGGGATGAAGACCAGTACCACCATGATGTCCCTCAGGCTCTGTGTCCCTTGGCTCCTGCCACCTTCCCAGTCTGCCCTCTCCTCTCTCTCCCCCTCTGCCTAGGCCACACCAGGCTCCTCCATGTCATGATGGGTGAAATAGTCCCTCCTGCCACAGGGTCTTTGCACATACTATTTCCTTTGCCTCCCCAGCTCTTCTCTCTGCCCAGCCCTCTCCCACCCTCAAAAATAAATCCCCTAGTTAGTTCCTCTTCTCAGCATCAGATCTCAGCTCAAACTCAAGTACCACATCCCTAACAAAGCCTCTTTTGTCCCTCATCGTAGGCAGAGTTCTCCTTCATTCCACAGGCTCGCGAGTGCCTGTCCTTCACAGCGTCTACCTCAACTTGTCATCACATACTCAACTGTGGGACCCTCTCATTCATATCTGCTTTTCCCACCACACGACACAGCAGAACCTTGTCTGCTTCATTCATACAATCAACAGACAATTACAGAACATCTACTGTATGCCAAGCTCCGGCAAAATATGTGGGACACTGAGGAAAAAGACAAAAGTCCCTGCCCTCATGCAGAGAGAAAGAAAAACGGTAACCAAGTAAACAAATAAGAAAATAGTGCTGATAAGTGCTAAAAAGGAAACAGTGATAATGACACAGAGTAACTGAGGGAGGGTTACTACAGAGAAGGCAGTGGGAAGGCCCCGCACTAGGTACTCACTAGCACTAAGGCATGCAAGCCTGGCACATAAAAGGTGCACAAATACTTTTTCGCAGAAATGAACGGATAAACCTCCTGACAGTGAACTCTAAACCACTGTCCATCTCCACAAAAACAACGCATGGTTACACAGCCACCATGATTTCCATTTTACAAACGGAAACTGAGGCCCGGAGCAGGTAAGTGACCTGCCCAAGACTGCAAAGTAATTTGGCAGTGTAGAGTCCAGCACCTCCCAGTTACAATGACCCTTTTCAATCCCAGTTCCCTTTTTGATCCCCTCTAACATCCCATGTGCAGGTGGATTACCCCCCATCCCATGTACAGGTGTAGAAACCGAGTTCCGACACGTTAAGCTACCTGCCCAAGGCCAAGGTTTGTCATGACCAAGTCGAGGCCTGCAGCGGGCAGGTGGGCAGTGCTGGGCCCTCCCGTGCCAAGGCCCGTCCACGACCCCGTCGGTCCAGTACCTTGTTGGCCAACTTTTTGTTCAGCTCTTCGGCAATGGAGTCGTTGAGCTTCCTCTCAAACTGCCACGGGGGGATCCGCACGGTGTCCACCATCTCCACCAGGACGAACATCCCGGCCCGCGCGGGGGTCCTGGGAATGGGAGCGTCAGTCAAGCACCGGGTGTGGGGCGGTGGGCACTCCCGAACCCCCTCGGTCCCGGCCCAGTTGCTGAGACTCCCCGCTCCCGTCAACCCAGGCCGGCAGTGGGGCGGCGCGGCAGGGCCCCAAGTAACCGGTGTGGGGCGCGCTCAGCCTCTGCAAAGAAAGGAAACTGAGGCTCAGCGCGAGGGACCCTCGCTCCAGTGGGAGGGGTGCGAGCGCCCGCCACACGACCCTACCAAGCCCCCGCCCCCCCGGGCCACGCGCCAACGCCACGCACCGCGCTCCCACGCGCTGCCGACTTTGGGCGAGATTCCGAATCCCGTCGCTTCCGGAGAACAGACCAATAAGAAGCTTTCGCCCGCCCCCCGACGTGACGTGAGGTGGGGCGGGGCCTCCCCTTCTGCCAGGGAGGAGCAGTCAAGGCTCCGACCGGGTTTGCTGGTTGCTAGGCAACCTCGCTGCGCTTCAGCCTTCTCTCACCTGGCCTGTGTAGTACTCTCTCCTTGCTGGTCTCAGGCCTAGCTCTGAGCCGCCGCTGCAGCCAGAGGGGTCCTCTCAAGAGGCAGCATGATATGCTTAGACCCTTCAGTACCCTGGAGGCAGGAGAATTAACTGGAAAGGGGCAGGCAGGACCTTTCTGGGGTGATAGAAATGTTCTGTATCTTCTGAGGGGTGGGTTGCACAGGTGTATACAATTGTCAAAACTCATTGAACTCAACAGTTAAGATCTTTGCATGTAATTGTAGGCAGATTACATCTCAACTGAAAAGATAATAGATTGGGGCCAAAAAACAACCTCAGTAGCTTCCCACTGAACTAATTAATAAAGTCCAAAACCTTGAGGCATCTGGCTGGCTCAGTGGGTGGAGCATTGGGATCTTGAACTCTAGATGGTGAGTTCAAGCCCCACCTTGGGTATAGAGATTACTTAATAAAATTAAAAAAAAAAAAGTCCAAAAGCTTTATAGTACCTCACAAGACTCTGCAGAATCTTAACCACCACCCACACCTCCAGCCCCCTTTTGTTCTCTTGGCTGCCAAGGGTGCTATCCTCCTTCACCTTCATGTGATAGGTAACTTGGGCTAAGACAGTTCAGTAGCTTGGCCAAGATCATGGGCTGTTAAGTGGTTGAAGAGGGCCCATCTAAACCTCCACACTGCCTCTCAAAGTTGGTGGACTGTGGAAATGTACTGTAGTGTGTTTAAACCAAATAAAAATTTGAGAACTTAAAAAAAGCCTTGGGGTAGATGACAGGCACTCAGAAATATATGGTGCTTCAATTTGCTGATTTTACACGTGTAGAGATATGAGGCTGTGATACTTAATTTGGCCTTCTCTGCATCCATATTTTTATTTTTAGGTCTGTCTGCCTCTCCTAAGATTTGAGCTACTTGAAGACAGCGGGGAAATGCTACTTCAGCTCTTTATTCCCACAATCCCCTAATATCATTTCTAAGAGGCATTCAGGAAAAGCATTCAGGAGATGATATTAAGTCTTTTTCTCAATCTCTCAAACCTCCCTCTTCATTCCATTCCCACTGCTACTGCTCTGGTTCAGGCCCTTCCTTTACTCCCCTGGAGCTTAGCCACATACCCCAGTTCCCGGCCTCAGTCTTTCCGGCAAGTGACCTCCACACTGTCACGAAAGCCTTCCCTTCTCTGCCCACGCAGAAAGGTCTGGACTGAACCCAGCCTTTCTTTCCAGTCTCACCTCCCTTCTGTTCTCCAAGCACTGGGATGGAGCAAGTTCTTTTACAGTCCTGCCTCAAACACTTCTTTACCTGGAAAACTCCTACTCATCCATCAGAACCCAAATGCAATGCCTATTTCATTCATTCATTCATTCACTTAACATACTGTGTGCCCAGCTTTGGAGATCCAGTGGGGAAGAACTGGGCCCCAAGTCCAGCTTCAGCTCAGAGGGATTGCAGGGAAGAGAGAGAGAGAATTTGATGCTCTCTGGGAATCAAAAGTATTTTAGCTGGTTTATAGGGAGATAAGAACCAGTGAGATTGGAGAGCTCAGCAGGGTCCAGATCACAAGTGCCTTATCATTATAATATTCATTAACTTTTAATCCTTACAACAGCTATATAAAGTAGGGGTTATTATTATCTGATTTATCTCATTATCATTTATCATTCTCATTTATCGTATTATTTTGCCTCCTCTAAGGCAGAGAGAGGTTAAGTAGGTCGTTCAAGGTCACACAGGTATTAAGTGGCAGAGCTGGGATTCAGGCTCCAGAGCCCATGATCCTAACTACTGGCCTGTGCCATCAGGACATTATTAGCCCAAGGACAGCAAAGGGAAGACTTAAATGGGTAGAACAGGGAAATGACACAGTGATGCATTGGCTGGATGGACAGTGGATGGGAAGGGGCTGCGGTGGAAACAAGAAGACCGGGGAGGAAGTTACTGGGTAGCTCCTCTAAGAGAAGAACCGAGTAAGGCTGGTAGCCATGGAGAGAACAGTTGGGCAGAGTCCAGATGTCTTCAGGCGGTGGTCGTGGCGGCGATAGAGTGGGTGACCTAGGGACGGAAGTGGGAAGAGCCAAAGCAGGAGGGTTTTCGCACTAGCTGGGTGGTGGGCCTTTCACTGAGATGGGAAACTGGAGGAGAGCCAGGCTGAGGGGATGGGGCCAGCATTGCAGAGTTCAGTGTTTTGGGTTCCCAGGCTGTTACGGTATTCAGCTCACAGGACTGCAACAGTGATTTGTTGGCACGTTTGGTTTCCTCATTAGGAAAAACAGGGACCAGGCTCCTTTATTAATTCTCTGCGTTGTTCCGTGGAAGATTTGAGGTGGCTTACAAAAGCGCACAAAGACTTAGTAAGCTCCTTGCCGGCAGAGGACTTCTCTGTCATGTCCCTCCACATCCTCTGGGCCCAGCCCTGTGTCTGGCACGTGGTCAGGGCTTGTAAGTATGTGTTATTTGGATGAACAAAAGGATAGCGAAATAATTGCTAAAGGTGTCGGAGTGAGGGAGAAATAGGGTTGGAAGCTAATCCAGGAGGAGGAGGAGAGTCTAGTGAGTGGTTAAGGGCATGGAGTTCTCACGCCACAGCACGCTAGCTGAGCACCCACGGTGGAGCCCATGGACCTCTCAGGGCTCGGCTGCCTCTCTGGAAAGTGGAGATAATAATAGACCCGATCTCAGGTGGTTGTCTGTCAGTGGAGGACTGGATAAAAAATATATACGGTGTATCACAGAATGGAAGAATTTGAAGCCATTAAAAGAAGGATGGGGGTAGCTCCTGGCTGGCTCAGTCGGTGGAGCGTGGGACTCTTAGTCTCAGGGTTGTAAGTTTGAGCCCCACGCTGGGTATAGGGATTACTTAAAATCTCACAGGGGCGCCTGGGTGGCTCAGTCGGTTAAGCGTCCAACTTCAGCTCGGGTCATGATCTCACAGTTCGTGAGTTTGAGTCCTGCATCAGGCTCTGTGCTGACAGCTCAGACCCTGGGGCCTGCTTCGGATTCTGTGTGTGTCTCTCTCTCTGCCCCTTCCCTGCTCACACTCTGTCTCTCTCTCTCTCTCAAAAAAAAATTAACATTAAAGAAAAAAATTTAAATGTTTGTTTATTATTTTGAGAGAGAGAGAGAGAGAGAGAGAGAGAGAACGTGAGTGGGGGAAGGGCAGAGAGAGAGGGAGACACAGAATCTGAAGCAGGCTCCAGGCTCGGAGCTGTCAGCACAGAGCCCGATGCGGGGCTCGAACTCATGAACTGCGAGGTTGTGACCTGAGCGGAAGTCAGATGCTCAGCTCAGGTACCCTAAGGTCTTTTATGTCTTAAAAAAACCCTCTCTTGGCCCTCCAGCTAGTGCCCTATTTTCTGCTCCTTTTACTGGCAAAACTGCTCGAAGGTGCCGTGGTCTCCAAATCCCCTCTTCTTGTCCTCCCCTCAACCTGTTCCAGTCAGGTTTTGGGCCCCACCACACAGCTCATACTGTGTTCTCGGGGTCACCAATGGCCTCCACGGCAGCGGTGATTGTCAGTCCTCAGAGACGGTGTTTGTCCCGAGCTGACCCTGCTTTGATCTTTGCACATGCCTTCCACATGGCTTCTAGGGGCCCACACTCACCCAGGACCTCCCCCACCTCTACACGTTGGTGGCCCCTGGGCTCACTTTTACCATCTAGAGCACCAGGGATCTCGTGGTCTCAGGGCTGTGACCAGCACCTCTCCACTGAGGCTTCCTCGTGGCCCTGTCCCCAAGCATCCCCCTGCCCGCTCCACATCTCTGTTCAGCAACTTAAGCTTGATGTGGGCCAGAGTAGAACTCCTGGTCGTGCCTCTGCGGCCAACCTGCTCCCGCCACTGTCTTCCCATCTTGGAAAATGACTTCTCCGTTCTTCAGTTGCTCAGGCCAAAGCCCAGGAACTGCCTCTTCGTGGTCTCTCACGCCCTCCCCTCCACGTCTTTGAACAAATCCTGTTGTTTCTCCCTCCAGTGTATCCAGAACCCTGCCCTCCCCTTCACCTCTCCTGCAACTCTTGGGTCCCACCCACCCTCACTCCTCACCCCTTACCTGGGCCTTTGCTGCAGCCTCCATTCTGGTTGCCTCATCCTGGCCTCATCCCCCACAGTCCTTGCTCAACACAGAAGCCAGAGAGACACGCTGGTAAAATGCCTGTCAGAAATCTCAGTCCTCCCCTCCAGACCCTGCAAGTGCTCGCTCTCATCCAGCAGAAAAGCCAGGCCTCAGGACGTCCTTCACAGCCCTTAGGGTCCTCTGCCCCTCACCCCTGTGACCGCCTGCCCCACTGCTGTGCCCTGTGGCTGTTTCTGAAACCCCAGGCACACTCCCCACTCAGGGCCCCTGCTGGTGCCCTTCTGTCTCCCCAGAACATTCTCCCCTCCCGCCCTCCTGTCTTCATTCCTCATCTCCTCCAGACCCTCGCTTTAATGACACCCTTGTTTTAAAGCCTCGGTGAGGCTTTTCCTGACTTTCCGTCCCCCAACCAAGCCCCTCATTTTAAATTGCAAACCACCCAACCCCCGCCCCACATTCCCACTTACTAGTTTTCCCCAGCACAGGACCCGGTTTGTTAGGTTGTTTGATGACCCCTCTCCCTCTTCTTGACTGTAAAGCCCACGAAAGCAGGCATTTTGTCTCTTTTGTTCACTGTTGACTCCCCACTACCTAGAAAGGCACGCAAGAAGTTCAGGACAAATATTTGTCAGGTAATTGAATGAGAGAAGGAAGGAAAGAAAAAATCAGCCCTGGGACCACTGTGGTCTGGAAGGTTGCTGATGGTAGAGGGATTTGACTCCAAGCTTTCTAGCAGCCACAGCCAAGAGAAAAACATTTTCAATTACAATGTGGAAACTGACCAGGTGCCAACGAGGCCCAGATTGTCTTGATTCTGAGCCCCACAGGGCTCTCTCTGGGTTCTTAGGAATGTAAGCTCTGAGGAACAGGACAAGGCCTGTGACAGTCTGTCTGAACAGGCCCAGGAACAATTCTCATTTGGGAACTTTTTTTTTTTTTTTTTAATGTAAACTCTACATCCAATGTGGGGCTTAAACTCATGACCCAGAGATCAAGAATCAGATGCTCGGGAAGCCTGGGTGGCTCAGTCAGTTAAGTGATTGGCTTGCGCTCTGGTCATGATCTCACAGTTTGTGTTCTAGCCCCGCATCGGGTTCTATGCAGACAGCTCAGAGCCTGGAGCTGCTTTGGATTCTGTGTCTCCCTATCTCACTGCCCCTCCCCCACTCACACTCTGTCTCTCTCTCTCTCAAAAATAAATATTTCAAAAAAAAAAAGAATCAGATGCTCTACCAACTAAGCCAGCCAGGCACCCCATCATTTGTGCACTTTTTTTTTTAATTTAATGTTTATTTATTTTTGAGAGACAGAGAGAGACAGAGCATGAGCAGGGAAGGGGCAGAGAGAGAAGGAGAGACAGAATCCAAAGCAGGCTCCAGGCTCCGAGCTGTCAGCACAGAGTCCGGCATGGGGCTCGAACTCACAGGCTGAGATCATGACCTGAGCCAAAGTCGGACGCCCAACCAACTGAGCCACCCAGGCACCCCTGTTTGTTTGTTTTTTTAATAGTTATTTATTTTTTGAGAGAGAGAGAGCACACACACAGGGGAGGGGCAGAGACAGAGGGAGAGAATCCTAAGCAGAGTCAACACAGAGCCCAAGGACGTGGAGCTCAATCCCATGAAGTGAACCATGAGATCATGACCTGAGCCAAAACCAACAGTCAGACGCTTCAACAACCACACAGGCGCCCCCCATTGGGCACTTCTAAAATGTCCTTCCGTGGAGGCCAAAAGCACAACCAAAGCACCAGTGGGAACAGAACAAAGCCTTCCTGGATGGTGCTCTCTGTTCTGGCTTGAGCCAAAAGCAAAGTGCAGAAACTCAATTGGTATTTGTTGGGACCACTGTCCATGAGGCCCTGGAGCTTGTGCTCCAGAGAGGGGCCCCAGTGGGAAACAGGAAACAGACGTGGAGGATCATTCCAGGCATTGCTATGGAGAAAGGTGTCACATGAATAATGTGACAGCCAGTGACTTGCATGCTGGTCTCCCAGGGCAGTCAGGGCCTGCCTCCCTCAGAAGGTGTGGATGGAGGTGAGCCTAAAGGTTAAGAAGGCTGGAGGCCCGTGGCTCAGGGTGTTCAAGGGTGTGTGTGTGTGTGTGTGTGTGTGTGTGTGTGTGTGTGTGTGTGTACAGATGGGCAAAGGAGGCCTGGCTCACAGCTCATCTCAGCCCTGGGTTATCTGGGGGTCAGCCCGGCTGCTCCAACCCCAGGGGCTCAGAGCAAGGTGCAGAGGAGGCCAGCTCTTGGCAGGGACCCCTGCTCCCCATCACAGACAGCTCTTCCCAATGACTTGAGGGGATCTAAGCAGCTACATCACAAGGAGACCCTCACCCGCAGCCCATAGGGTAATCTCCAGCCCTGGATCCCAGGGCCGGATGACCCCTCCATTTTCCTCAGTCTCTTGCCTGCATCGATCATTCCAGACCCTGGAAGAGGCTATGAGGCTGCCAGGGACACTGTTTGGAGGCAGGAGCATGTCGTGGCTTCCCATCTCATTTCAGATGAGGAGCAGGCCTCTTGCCAGGCCCCCCAAACCCTATGCAATATGACCCCTGCCCTCCTCTGACTTCCTGATCCAGCCACATCAGTGACCTTAAGGTCCTTGAACATGTAGAGTTCTTCCCTGCCTCTGGGAGTTCACCTATGCTGTTCCCTCATTAGGAAACACTCTTCCCTGTGTTTTACAAGGCTGACTCCTTCACACCCTTTGGGATCAGCTAACAAGGGCCCCTTCTCACAGTGGCCTTTCTCAGTCTCTGTCTCAGCAGGTGGACTCAGTCCTGCCAGTCTCCTTCTCCCCACCCTGCTCGTTTGTCTTTATAATCTGTGACTATACATTTATTTGTTTGCATACCCAGTACTATGTCTCTTCCTAGATAAGACATGGGACTTACAAACTCAAGGTGTATCTGTTTCATTCACTGCTGTATTCCAGCCTAGACCATCTGGCACAGAGTGAGTAGTCAATAAATATTCGTCAAATGTTTGAATTAATGAAAAATGACGTGGTCGGAGCTGCAGAGAAAGGTCTCTGGCAAAAGAGGAATAGTCAGATTGGAGAAGATGGCTGGGGGACAGGAAGAGAGGACGGAGAACCACTCTGAACCCCCGGGCAAAATTGTTAGAACAGACTGGAGAGGAGTCCCATGGCCGAGGAGATGGGCATCTAGGGAACTGAAAAGGTATTTCAAAGGCAGTGCGGTGTCGCAGAAAGAATGAGAGTGTGATGCGGTGCCTGAGTGGCTCAGTGGGCTAAGCATCCAACTCTTGATTTCAGCTCAGGTCA